TGAACTCCTTTAGCTTTTTCTTGTCTGGGAAGCTCTTTATCTGTCCTTCAATTTTCAATGATAGCCTTGCTGAGTAGAGTAATCTTGGTTTTAGGTCCTTCCTTTTCATCACTTTGAATATTTTGTGCCAATGCCTTCTGGCCTGCAGTTTCTGTTGAGAAATCAACTGACAGTCTTATGGGAACTTCCTTGTAGATAACTAACTGCTTTTCTCTTGCTGCTTTTAGGGTTCTCTCTTTGTCTTTAACCTTTGCCATTTTAATTATAATGTGTCTGTGTGGGGGCCTGTTTAGGTTGATCTTGTTTGGGACACTCAGCTCTTCCTGAGCTTGTATGAGATGTCTATTTCCTTCGCCAGGTTCGGAAAGTTTTCAGTCATTATTTCTTCAAATAGATTTTCAAGTCCTTGTTCTCTCTCTTCTCCTTCTGGTACTCCTATGTTGTGAATATTGTTATGTTTGATGTTGTCCCAGAGTTCTCTTAAATTATTTTAAATTTTTCAGACCTTTTTTCTTTTTGTTGTTCCTATTGGGTGTTTTCTGCTATTTTGTCTTCCAAATCATTGATTCGATCCTCTGTTTCATCTAGTCTGCTAGTGATTCCTTCTTGTGCATTCTTCATTTCAGTTATTGTATTCTTCACTTCTGACTTTTTTTGTTAATGGTTTCTATGTCCTTTTTTATGCTTGTTATCTCTTTGCTGAAGTTCTCATTAAGTTTCTTGAGCACCCTCATAATGATTGTTTTGGACTCTGTACCTGATATCTTGCTTGCCTCCATTTTGTTCTTTTTCTAGAGTTTTCTCTTGTTCTTTCATTTGGAATGTATTTCTTTGTTTCCCCATTTTGACTGCCTCTCTGTGCTTGTTTCTATGTATTAAGTAGATCTGCTATGTCTTCCAGTCTTTCCATGTGACCTTAAGTTGTAGGGGCCCTGTGAGGCCCAGTGGCACAATCTCCCTGGTCACCTGATCCAGGAATGTCCCTTGTGTGGATTGTGTATACCCCCATGTTATAGTTGAGCCTTGATTGCTGTTGGGAAGTCAGTGAGTGGTATTAACCCTGAGACTGACTGGCTGTGGGGTTTGGCCACATCCGTTGCTTATGGGCTGCTGTGTGTGGGGCTTACCCCACAGAGCAGGATTTGCCCTAGTGAGCTCTGGTGCCTGTTGAGACTGTCCTTTGTGTGTGCCACTTGTTGGGTACTTGGTTGTTGCTCTGCTGTGATCTGAAGCCAGCCTCCAAGAACGTTGGATCTGGGGCCCCTTGAGAGGGGCTCCAGTGCAGGCCCAGGACAGCCACTGCCTGTAACTGACTGGGGAGTACCTGGTAGGAGCTAAAAAAGTGATCCATAGTTGGTCATTGCCTGTGCTGTATCTGGAGTTGCATGGGAGAGGCCCCGCTGGGAACTGAGAATGGCTGCCACCAGTACTGGACCTGGGGTAGCTCTGCAAAAAGCCACGACACTCTGAGGCTTGCTGCCATATGCTGGCTCCCACAAGGTTCAGCAGCTAATAAAGCCTCCTGTGGTAGCAAGTTGAGTGAGGCAGGGTCTCAGTGAGTCAGCAGGGTGGAGCAGTGGAGCTCACCAGGCTAATTAGATTCAGATTTGGCCTGTGGGGGTGGGCTCAACACAGGATAGATGGTGTCCACCTGCCAGTTGCATGGGAGAAGGACCCCATACAGGGAAAATGGGGACTGTCTCTCCAGTCCTTGCCCCAAAGTTACACAACTCAGTTTCTTCCCATATGTATTCAATGCCCCCAGAGTCACTGTCCCTCTGCTGGATCACAGGATGTCTGTATGTGGGACCTTTAAGAGAATGTCTGCATTTCTGGCCTGGATGGTCAGAATCCCCACTTTTTTTCACAACCAGAAGTGTGAGGTCTCCCCTTCTCAGCACCAGCACTATGGGCTGGAGGACCTGGTGTGGGGGGGCTGGGGTCCCTCACTCCTTCGTGGGGAACCTCTGTGTCCAATATATCTCCCAATTTTCAATCACCACATGTGGGTGTGGGACCAGCCCGTTTTGAGACTCTGCCCCTCTTACAAGTCTTGACATGGCTTCTTTATATCCTTAATTATAAAAATTCTGTTCAGCTAGACTTCAGGTGGTTCTCCGGGTTGATTGTTATATAATTTAGTTGTAATTTTAATGTGTTTATTGGATAAAGCAAGCACAGTGTTTATCTACTCTGCCATCTTGGATCTTCTCTAGACCATTTTTTAAATGTAATTTTTGGTGTGTTTGGGTTTAGGTCTACCATCCTATTATTTGTTTTCTCCTTGTTACCTCTTTTTTGTTCCTCTATTGCTCTTTCCTATCTATTTATGGGTTACTTGAATATATTTTAGTATTCTATTTGAATTTATCTATTAAATTTTTGCTATCTCTTTGTTTAGTTTCTTTAGTGCTTGTGCTAAGGATTATAATATACATACCTAACTTTTAACAGCCTACTTAGAATTAATATTTTGCTACTTTAAATAAAATATAGAAACCTTACCTCTATTTAGGTCCTTTTGTCTTCCCTTATTTCTGTTGTAGTTGTCATATGAATTACATCTAATACAATTTGCTTTCAACCATTATACATATTTTAAGAACTTAAGAGAAAAAATAGTCTATAATATTTAGCCATATATTTATTGTTTCTGTTGTTCTCTTCATTCCTGAAATGCCAAGTTTCCTTCTATTATTATTTCTTTCTTATATGAAGAATTTCTTTTAGTATTAATTTTAGAGAAAATCTGATGACAAGAAATTCCATTTGTTTTCCTTCATCTGGGAATATATGGTATTTATTTTTGCCTTCATTCTTGAAGGATATTTTTTGGATATGGAATTCTGTACACTTTTTCAGTGCTTTAAAAATGTTTCCCTGCTTTGTGGTTTCTCATGAGAAAATCCACAGTCATTCAAATTGTTATATGTATATAACACGTTATGTATAATGTGTTATTTTTCTCTGGCTGCTTTCAAGATTTATTTCATTGTCATTAGGATCCAATAGTTGATTATGATGTGCCTGGGCATAGATATTTTTGTTGATTTTGTTTGGGTTTTGCTAAGCTTCTTGAATCTTTAAGGTTATGTATTTCACCAAATTTGAAGAAATAATGACTAAACACCATCCTGATTTTTTTCTATTTTTACACCACATTGTTTCTCATATCTTTCTGGAACTCTAGCAACAGGAATGTTAGTTAGATAATTTGGTATTGTGATATATGACCTTGAGTCTTTCTTTATTTTTTTGTTCAGATTGGGCAATTTCTACTGATCTATCTTCAAATTCATGGACTCCCTCTTCTCTCATCTCATTCTTCCATTGTTCTAATTTAGTGAGATTTAAAAAATTCAGTTATTTTGTTTTTCAGTTCAAAATTCAGTTCAGAATAAAAATTTCATTTGATTCTTTTTCATAATTCCATTTCTTTATCAATACTTTCTGGTTTTTCATTCATTTCAAAAGTATTCACCATTACTTCTTGGAGTTTGATTAATAATAGCTGTTTTAAAGTTTTTGTCTTATAATTCAACATCTGTGTCATCTCAGACTTGGCATCTGTTGATTACTGTTTTCTGAGTGAGATATTGAGATTTTCCTCATTCATTCTATGCTGAATGATTTCAGATTGTATCCTGGACATTTTGATTGTTATGAAGTCTGGATCTTGATAACATCTTCTGGAGAATGCTGATTATTTTGGTTCAGTAGGCAGTCAACCCAGTTAGGTTTCAGGCCACAAGTTCTTACCCACATTCTGTATTAGTTCAGTTTTTAAAAACTTTGCAGGGTGTTTTTCTCTGCCCCCACTTGCCCCATGCAATAGCCAGTCTTGGGTGGTGGTCTACCACCGAGTTCACATCTCAAAGTCTTTGGAATGTGGTTTAGGGTCAGATCCACACGTGTAGCTCAGAATTGAGCCCCGAATTTGATAAACAACTTAGTCATCTCATTTTCTTAAGCCCCTTTCTCCTCCTCATCTCCTCAACAATTTCTAGCTTTTAGGAACCCCTTCTGTTTCTTGTGTCTAGAAAGTCATGGCTTTGTTTCCTTGCTCTGCCACACACTTCCCACAATAGCACCTGTCTCTGGGGCCATGTGAGTAGAGGAAAAAGAGAGACAAAAGCAATGGGAGTTTGCCTACACTTTTGGGACAACAGTTTGTCTGGTCAGAGAGTAGGATTCTCCTCTCCATGAGTTTCAGATGCCTGCCTGGCCATCACTTCTGCTATGGGGTTGCCTGGAGGCCAGTGTGAGGAAGAATGGAAATGCCCAACAAAGAAAATTCCAGGGGTTCTCCTCCATGTTCTGTGACTTGTAGGAGCCTCCTTTGCTGCTCCTCAGACCAGAAGTAGAGGCCTTCTCTTATAGCTCTGTGTGTCCTGTCCATACCTGGGCACAGTTCTGTGTTTCAGGCTCCCTGTGATCCTATACCAGGGGATGCCAGAGGGAGAAGCCCCAGGAAATTCATTGCCAGTTGTATGGTACTTTGGGTTTGGCTTCTTTCTCTGCTATCAGTTATTTTTCAGGGTCTCAGTGAGCTGCTTATGCATTCTATCTGGGTTATTAGTTGCATTCAGTGGATAGGACAGGGTAGAATGTGCTTAAACCAACTTGAAGGGATCTAGAAGCCCTTGTGTGTGTGTGTGTGTGTGTGTGTGTGTGTGTGTAACATAAAATGAGTGCTTTGCCATCTCTCACATATATGGAGAGAAGGGCCAGGGAATTGACTTCCATTGAGCACCAACTATGTGCCAGGCACTGAGCCTTGGTGCACAGAAGCATTATTCGATAACTCTGTGAGGAAAGTACAGTATTGTTATCTCCATTGTACAGGTGGGACAATTAAGCTCAGGTCAATTTTTTGAATGTCATATGTATAATAAGTACTAGACTGAGGATGTGTATTGTGACCTGTCTTAGAAAGATCCAGAAAGTTTTATGAAAAGCAAAAGGTGCAAGGCTGATATCCTGCTTCCCCTCTCTTGCAGGATGGATGAAGGTGACACTGTGATCATGCATCCCGGGGTCCTCTGCATCATGGTGAGGCTGCTGCCTCGGCTGTACCATGATGATCACCCCCAGGTACCTGCCAATGAACACACGTATTTCTCTTTTGCACATGACTGATCTTTCAAGCTCCTCTGGCCAGAGACTTGTATTTTCGTTCTGCCTTTGCCATCAGTCCTGCATTAGCAGAGCCACCCTTATGAAGAACATACTGCCAGGGAGTGTCAATGTGTCTGAGACCCTTGATTGAATTCTGCCCACTTTCTAAGGTCATTCAAAACAGATCCCTTCTATTGGTGAATTGATCTTCTAAAAACAACAGCCAAACAAAAACCAACTGAAAATATTTAACCTTCATGAGGCAAGTCCTAGTGCTACAGACAACACTGAGAATTGCTGGGACTAGGAGTTCTTTGCTCCTCATATTTTCATCCATTCCATGGGTGCTGGCCATGACCCTGACTCGGTGCTCTGTGCAAGGCATTCAAGGCTAACCAAGATGAGCACTGTCCATGGAGCCTGCCTCTGCAGTGGGGTCTGGCAGGTGGTTCCAGTGCAGACAGCCTGAATAAATAAGCTCATAAATGAATGTCCAATTATAAATTATGACAAGTGGTGTTAAGGGGGAAAAAAAACCAAGGTCTGAGAGAGAAAATGGGAATGGAGGTGGAAGAAAACTAATTAAGTCTAATTTAGATGAAGGGGTGGAGGTCAGGGAAGCCATTTCTTAGATGGTAACATTTCAGCAGAGCCCTGAAAGATGAGTGGCAGTTAATCAGGTGGGTGGAGCCTGCTGCAGGTGGCTGGGGCTGGGGACCTAAGGGGAGAGTGGGAAATATGCAGGTTGGGGCAGACAAAGGAAGGCTACCCTGCCACGATGTGGGGTTTTAGCCCCAGGACAACAAGCCATCTTTCTCAAATGAGTGGAAGATGACATTATAAGGTTTTCGTGTTAAAAATATCTCTGTGGGTATTGCATGGAGTATGGCCTTGGAACGGGGCTGTGTGGAAGAGGTAAGGGAACAGCAGTCAGGAAGCCATGTCTATAGTCCAAGTAACACATGGTGGTAGCTTGATTAGGGTGTTTGTTAGAAAGTGTAAAGAGAAAGGAGTCAAGAGACCTATTCAGGGATTGAATCACAGGACCCTGAGATAAATGGGGTATAATGACTGGGAAGAGGGCAGCTTCAAATGTGACCCTCAGTTTCTGACCTGGCAGAACTAAAGCTCCATGCAGGGTGGCAGACTTGTATGGATGACAACACTGAGTAACAGAATGAGGCAAATCCTGAAAAAGTACTCTCAACTTGGAGAATAAGTGCTTCAGAAGTTCAGAGAAAGAAACCAGAAGAGTTGAGGAAGACCTGGAAAATGCACACTTTAGATTTATCTACAGCAGATAAAAGGAAATGAATTGAGCAGCTGCTATGTGCCAGCCATTGTGCTGGGTCCTTTTGCTCTTTATTTATCCCCCTAGTAGTTTCCTTGGGAGTATTATTGTCTTCATTTTAACCAGTGGGGATAATGATTTTTAAGGATTCCCAGTTGTGGACTTTGTATTAAATGTGGTCCTACCTAGTGACAAGCCCCCTGGCCTTTCACCTGCACAACAGGGTTTCTGTAGAGAGATGGGGGTGAGGAGGCATGGGTCCAGCTTTACTTTGTCTGGGGGTTAAAAAGAGGTGATATGTTTTAGAAAGAAATGACAACTAGTGGCATTATTAATCACAGACTGAAAATGACACTGACCTAGTAAAAATATTGCAAGCTCTCCAAATCAGTGAGGGAAGAGGAATGAAGGAGAAAAAGCCTTGATTTATAGGTAAAGGAACTATTTGCTTCTTTAATTTAAAAAAACATTTAAATTACAGTTGACATACAATATTATCTTAGTTTCAGGTGTACAACATAGTGATTAGACATTTATATAACTTACAAAGTTATCACCCCAATGAGTCTAGTACCCATCTGACATCATACATAGGTATTACCATATCATTGACTATATTTCCTATGGTGTACTTTATATCCCTGTGATTATTTTTGTAAATGATAATATATACTTCTTAATTACTTCCCCCTTTTCACCCATCCCTCCCCCCAGAGAACTGTTTTCACTAAGGCAATTCTGTAGTATTTGTTATAGTAGTAAAAAAAGGACTATCTATCATAGGTTCCATGTCTACACATCCCTTTGTAACTGAAACCCTTTTTCTGGTTCCTGTTCTGTTAGAAAGCGATGATAAAGTGATGTTTCAAACCAATGAATAGGGATACATCTAATAGTGAAATAAATGCACTTTATATTTTTCGACATTTATGGAATAACAGTAGAGGGGGATAAAATGGGTTAGATTGACCCTTTAGTTATCCATTACTGTGTGACAAGCTGCTGCCAAGTTAACAATGGCCAGTCATTCTTTCTCATGTTTCTGTGGGTCGGGGTTAGACAGGCACAGCAGACAGCTCGTCTCTGCTCTACGTGGTGTTGGCTGGGCTGGAGCATCCAAGTTGGAGTCTTGACTCATAGAGCTGGTACCTCACAAGGCTGCTCAGATGGCACAGGGCTCCTGGGCTGGCTCAGCTGGGTTAGATGTCTGGGGCCTTGTTGAGACCTGCTGGTAGGATTCTGAGTTCTCCTCCTTGTAGTCCTCTTCATTTGGCGTCTACCTTTGTCTCTCCAAGTGAATTCTTCAAAAGGCCACATAGCAACTCAGACCTCCCAGCGGCACAAAAGCAGTAGATGGCAGGCTTTTTGAAAGCTTAGGCCTGGAACAAGCCAGCATTGTTTCCACAGCATTTTGTTGGTCAAAGCGAGTCACAGGTTTAGCTTAGACTCTATGGCTCCCCTACTAATGTGTGAGGTAACCTGTGTGTACAGGAGAGAGGAGGTTGTTTGGGGACATCTGTAAAGACCAGCCACCATACTTGCCTTAAGCATCCAACTGATGGATAAAAATGTTTGATCCCTAACCAGATGTCTTCCAGTCATTTCATTATCTGAAGTCTGGGACCTTATTTTCTTTACCTTGGTATTCAAGGCAGGGCCTGTCTGGACCATACTGGAAATGAATACACATTTTTCTATGCCAGGAATGTTATTTCATCAACATTCATAAAACCTCATGAAAGTACATGAGAATCTCCTCATTTTGCAGATGCTTGAGACTCAGGACATTTGTGTAACTTCCTAAGGTCTTCGGGCTGGTGAGGGGAGATGTGAAACACTCCCAGGTCCAAGGTCAAAATATGTTTGATGAAGAAGTCTCTCGTCTCTGCAGCTCTTGCAGTATGCAGGGTGGTGCAGTCTGAACACTGTACATTTTTCCAGGTGCAGTCGCCCCATTGTGAGGGTGTCTGGCTTCCTTGGCTGGATTTCATACCATGAAATGGACTTGCAACGAGAACAACTAAGCCTGTGGTTTGGTTGGTCTTATCAGTCAAACAATTGCTCATGGATGCAATGTGCAAATTCTACCACAATGATGGCTGATGAAATGGTGCACAGTAGACAGCGACCTGTCCTTCCCTCTCCTAGTGCAGGGGAATTCTGTGGATGAGCCTGAATTTCAGGTAAACTCCATGAGCTGTCATATTAGTGTATGGGGAAAAAGTTCTGCTCATCCTATGATGGTAATGAGCTAAATTAAATATGCAAATGAGAATCCAATTTGGTAGGATACTTTTTCTCTATTCAGGTCACAATGAGTAATTTAGGAAAAGTCTAATTCTCCCTCACTATCTCTCAAATATGCAAATTAAAAGTAGTGGTGCATTTTCTCAAATATTTTCTGCAGATGCCTAATCAGCAGCTATTCAAAGTTGGATAATTACAGTAATTAATTTCTAAAAAGGGGGTGGGTAGAAAAGCCTCATAACAACAAATAGAATAGTAAATCAAATGAGAAATGAGACCACACACTGAAATGCTGAAACGAAACTGACTGCCGGACTGCAGATTTTGGGGTAGAAAAAGGAGAGGAAGTTTCAGTAGATGGCAGTGTTACTCACAAGATGGGATGTGAGCTACCACTCATCTCACTTTAGGTCTGCCTGATGGTTCCTGTTTTTCCCTCTGCTCTTATCCACTTTACATTCCTCAGATGCTCTTCCTACCTTATGGGTGACAAACTCATCACTTTCCAAAGTGCAGATACCATTTTAGAAGTGACAATTTAAATAACTACATATATGGGTTGTCAGGTTTATTTCTAATTGTGGCCACATTAAACTTTCTCTGTTCACAACCAAGAAGCACTTTCTTCCTCTCCAAAATGCTTACATTGCAAGCTGCTCTTGGAAATGAAAAATCCAGCTTTTTTTTCACCTTTTGTGTCATTCCAGTATTACAATTGGACTGTGGGAATTTTACTGTGAATGTTGTCCTAAGCACAAGGCAAAACTGGAATTCAGCTGAAGTTCTCTTGAAGCTGAGTTGGCTCCAGTAACAAGTACATTTGGGAACAAAGACATTTTTCCTGCCTAGCACACTCAGCAGCCTCGAGGGTCTTGCCATAGGGATGTGGCTATGGGCTAGAGCTCGGACCAGTACTGGGAGGGCTTCTGGTTCCACGCACCACTCCACTTCCCCCAGGGATGTGGAACTCAGCCTGTGTTGGAGGAACCATTGTGATGCGTTTGCTTCTAGGAATCATTAGTAAATCCCTACAAGGTGCCATGGGGGATTCAACACGAATGTCACAGGAACTCACAGTCTGAGTTTGAGGGTGGGTGGGAAGCGGAGTGTAGGTGAGAGTAAGACAACATTCTGATGGCTGCAACAAAGGTTTGTCCACAAGGCCTGGGGACAGAGGGGAGGGGGGCACTAGAGCTAAGCTTTAAAGAAAACATGTGTCTATGCCAGATTAGATAGAGGAAGAAGGGAAGAGCAGCTCAGACCCAGAAAGAGGCACAAAGGAAGATGCCCATTTGGGGACTTTGAATGGGTCAGCTGGGCTGGGAGAGACTACGTGGGTACAAAGGCACATTATGAAAGGCCTTGAATGCCATGTTAAGAGGACTGAACTTTATTGGGTTACCCTCCATTGTCATCGTCATCATCATCACCACCACCA